GGGCGGCGGCTCCCGCCTGCCCGCCCATGCCGGGCTCCCCTCGCAGCCCGGCCGCCCCCTCACGGGGAGACCCACGCTCGCAGGGATTGAGCCTTCAACCGACCACCCCCCCCCCCCCCCCTCTTGTTTTGCAGTGTTTTCCCGTGTGCTCGCGGGGAGGAGAAGTCTTTGAGCTGGAATCCCTCAAATAACCTTTAAAGATGAAGGTAGGCTGAGTCCGGAGCGGGGAGCCGGCTCCCTTTCCCCCCACCCCGCCTCGCTAGCTGCTCTGGCGATTTCATTTTTAATCGCACGTCTCGGCTGAGCAACAGTAGGATCGCGCTGGCTGGGGTTTCGGTGCATGCTGTAAATCCTGTTTCTGCTCTCCAGCTGAGGTGTGGGTGAGCAAAGCTCTTATCGTCTTGCAGTAGCAGTCTTGAAAATTCACGACATCTTTGAGTTGTTGTCCTTTGGGCTACTGTCTTTAAATGCTTCCTGTATCAGCAGCTGCTATTGCAAGTTTGCAAAACCACAGCTTTTGTCCCGCCTTAGCTGTTGCCGGTTTTTTCAGTACAAAGGCTTAACAATTGCAGTATAATTTACAAAAGAGAGAAAAACTTTTTTTTGCCTTCGGAGTTGACGAAATAATAACAATTTCAAAAAAAAAAACCCACAAAAAACAGTTATTTTATATTCTGTGCTGATTTCCTGTCTTGATGGACATTTTCAACATGGTAATTTTGTCCTCGTTTATCAGTTGCTACAATCACAATAAAGTGAAATGTTGAGTAATAAAGTTCAGATTAAGGAAAACATGATGAGAAATACTTCTCTCTCTTAAAATGCATAAGCAGTTAAGCTTTGATAAAGGCATTTCAAGAAGAAAAATACTAGTTAACAGCTGTTTGAAAGATTGCAACAAATTTCTCTAGAGGTCTCCTTTTAGTCAGCAGGAAGAAAACTATATATAGAATGTTACAGACTTAATTGTAAGTATCATGATGATAGCAATCTCAAATGTTTTAAATAATCTGTGTCATTGGATTTCTTATAGCTGAAAAAAAGTACAACCACCTTTTATACTGCCTTTTTGCAGTTAAAATATTTTCCTTTTGTATGCTGTATAGGAATGACTTGAATTAGTAGTCACTCCTATACGTATAAGGAGATGTTCCAAATATCAGTTCAATATCCTCAGAGATATTTCTGGGACAGTAATTAGGCTGACAGAATGGGGGGGGGTCAGCATTACTGGTAAAACAAAACTTCCTGTAACTTGTTTGTTGGTGTCTTTTCTTTTTTTTTTTCCTTCTAAAGAACTGTGTGATTGCAATTCTGAGTACAGATGTTGTTTATCACTTAAAAGTCAATAAGTCTAAAAGTCTAGATGTAAAATTTGATGTATAACGATGTAACTGTAAAAATAAATAAGAACAACTAAACTTTGTTCATGTTTTTTGTTTCTTAATAGGCAGCAGATGAGCCTGCCTACCTGACAGTGGGAACTGATGTCAGTGCCAAGTACCGTGGTGCCTTCTGTGAGGCAAAGATTAAGACAGTGAAAAGGCTTGTGAAAGTCAAGGTAGTATACTGTAGTTGTTGCTGATTTTATTAAACCATTGTGCTGAAAGGACTGTCAGAGAAGATCCTGGTCCTGAAGATAAGGAAATATTCATCACCTCACTGCATGAATTTTAAAGAACACTTGAATGTCGTTTTTCGTATTTTGGTGTTGGGTTTGGGGTGGGTTTTGTTTGGGGTTTTTTGTTATTTTTGGGGTGGTAGCGGTGGGTTTTTATTTTTTTCTTTAGGAGGATGCTGGAACAAGAATGAGCTTTCAAATTACCTATTCTTGCTACTTCTTCCCTGATCTCGGTTGTCTTCTGTTTGTGAATGCATCAGTTTCACAGCAATCAGTTTTCATGTCACAAATAGAGGATTATGGCTTTACATGAGTAATAAGGAATAAGAGCAACCTCTTCAGAAGCAAAAGTTCCATTTCATTCCAACTGACATCCTCAGTTTTATAGCTTGGAACTTAAGAGGCAATGCCGAAATAAATCAACATAACGGCAAAAAAGATGGCAATATTTAGTTTCTTAGACCAGGTTTTAGAAATGCCCAGGATAACATTTGTTAGGTTTTGAGCATCTTGCTGCTGCTGCCCCTTCTAAAACAGTGTGCTCTGGCTGTAGCTGAGTTTCTCTACACGCGTAGTACTGGCACATGATATTCATTCACATTTACAGGTCGTATGCCAAACCAACCAAAAAATAAAGTCATTATTTTGGTGTTGCAGTACTGTTGTAAATGCTACTATGGGAAAACAAGAATAAAACCTAGTTAAGTAAAAGTTAAGAATTCAAAGTAAAGGTAGAAATTGTTCTTCTGCTTTGTTTTGTCAAAATCTTCCCACTTTCTTGTCTACTCTCCAGGATATGTAGATAAGGCATTAGTGACCCAAAGCGCCCTAACAAATAGAGATGAAAGCTGGTTTTTATAACTACACATTTAAGTTTTCATGTGCTTTAATGCTTACATAAATAGAACTAGCTATCAGCCTCTTCAGTTACGCGCATAGATCATATCACTTTATCAGAGTGCTTTTCATGAATAGGAAAAAAAAAAAAAACCCCAAACAATTCAGATACTGGAGTCTTTTCCCCTGTTCTTAATGAGTACTTAAAGAAATTTGTGATGTTCTTTGAAATCTGTGTTAATTAGAGGCTCTGTAGGAAGCAGTGTGCTGCCCTCCCTGGTCTGACATCCTTGATTTTGTATCTGCACCTTTGATCTGATAGAGTGTTCAGACTGTTGATAGATGTGTGGGTTTTTTTTCTCATTAGAATCATATGCTTTATTACTCCACGATAAGATTTGGAAGTGTATGAGGCTGCTGTTACTTGGTGGAAATTCCTGTCACTGTATCTCAATTATATTACAACAATTGAAGTTTTAACAAGCTAAGCCTGATATTGTAATTAGGAGCACGTAGGCACACCCTGGCACACCTGCCAAGAGTGCAAAAAGTCCAGTAGTCTTTTCCTGAGTAGCAGGACAACCTGCCGATGCAAATCATAGTAAAAAATTTTAAATTAAAATTGCACAAAGTGCATTATTGATCTGATTGTGTGTTAATACCAATGCTATTTTAGCATGCCACTAGTGTTGTATTTATAAACACAACTACAGTGTAGGCTATGGTTGGGGGATAATTGGGGGAGCCAGAAAACTAGAAATCTTTATAGGTGGCAAGGAAGCTCCTGGAACTTTTGATTCCTGAAAAGAAATAGGAATTTTGAAATTTTTTTATTAGAACACCATAGGTGGTTTTGTTATAACAAACGGCAGTGAAACAGTTAACAGTGTTGACATCTAAATATTCATCTTTTATGTTTCTAAACTGAGTCTCTTCAAACTCAGGGATTCAAATTGCATAGGCTTACATTCACTCTGTCTCATCAGTGTTGCCTTCTCAAACGTCGGATTTTAAACGGAGAAGCATAGTTTACTTACACTATAACTGATCCTTATTTTCATTACACTCTTAGTGATTCGCATCTTTACCATAAAAATTTTCCCTTGCTCAAGGTAGCAGAAATGGTGGTATTGCAGTCAGTTTGGTGATTTTTTTGATACATACTTAATAAAGAGAGCTTTTTATTTTGGTTGTAGTTTAGTATTCAGTGTGTTGTCAATAAAGTGCTGCAGTTGAAGTAGAGAGAAAAACCTGCTTAATCTTCTGATCTGGAAGCCCCAATTCCAGGTATGCCCTGGATTGCATCAATATCCAAACTCTCATCAAAATGTGTTTTCTTTGCCTTGGAATGGCTGATGTTTGATTTGCCTTGTTCTTTAATTATGATGTTTCAGATTAAATATTAAGTGTGATACTTGGGGCTTCCTGTCAGTAAAACTGTCCATGCCAAGTGTTTTGCATTCAGTAATGTTTGAGTCCATTTGATAAACATCTTATTTTCCAAATTATGATTATTACTATAAATAGAGTTTCATATGCTTTTTGTATGCTGCTAAAAATAAGTTACATATAAAAAAATTCATGGATATCTTTCAGGTGGTCCTGAAGGGGGATAACTCAACTCAGTTAGTGCAAGATGACCAAGTGAAAGGACCTCTAAGAGTATGTATATTGCATGCCTTTTTTTTTCTGTACTCATATAATTGATTTATAAAATTCTAAATTTTGATGCTGTTTAAGTGGGTACCTGTTCTACAGAGTTTAAATCAACAGAAGGAGGCTCATTGCTTTAGATCAGATTGATTCCGAGTGATTAGTCTTAACTTTTGTAGCTTTTAGAGGCTGTTTATGCTTCTCTATGTAGTATACTTCATACGCAGTTTTGCAGGCATGATGATTTTTGTATCTTCTTACAAGATACAAAACTTCTTGGAAGTAATGAAACTTTGAAACTTCTTACAAGTAATTGAGAACTTGATTACGAAGCTAATTTCAAGCCCATTGGACGATAGTAAATATGATTACGCTAACTGTTTTAAAATAGTTTATGTACTTTATATAAAAATATGTGTTGATTTGTATCATTACGATATGTAACAGTTGTCTGCTAAAACACATAGCTGCATTGTAAAACACTGAATGCAAATAGAGCTCTTGAGAGGAGATCATATTTTTTGTATTTGTCTTTTTTCTGTAGCTACTGCAAGAACACCAATGCATGTTGTAGGCTGCTACTGAAATTCTGATCTAGCTGACAGTATAATGATGTTTAAAGTATAAGAAATAGTAGTAATTGCATGCATATCAGTATTAAAGCAATAATTACTTTGAATATTTGAATATTTATTTCCAATTAGCCTTCTATTATTTCTTGTGAAATCATGCTGAAATTGGATGTTCTGAGTTTCTTGCTGCTTTACTGTCTACTTGCAGTTCAGCCTTCATACTTAAGGACCTTTGTTCTTACCAGCGAAGTAACTAAATTTTACAAAGTAACTTTTAGTGAAAATGAGTCTTTAGAAAAAAAAAAATCTACCTTGCTGGAAGAATTAATGCCTACATGTGTTTTTGTCCATTATATGAGTTTGGGATTACATGTAACCTTGAGATACTCCTTTTTGCAGGTTGGTGCAATGGTTGAAACCAAAATGCCTGATGGATCCTTTCAAGAAGCTGTTATCAGCAAGTTGACAGATGCTAGTTGGTATACTGTAGGTGAGTAGCCACATGCTTTCGTTTATGATCTGTAATCTTTAAACAATGTATTTCTAATTATAGGTAATAATGTAAGTAATTATATCTTATAATACAAGATCTGAAATAGATTTTGGAGGGGACTTTTTTAAGTCTTCCAGGTCTTGTTTCCTTTTCCACTTAAAATAGGACAATAATTATTTGATGTTCAGGGAGGCTGTTGCACAGGTAATTGCAGGGCTGAACAATCAAGTTTTATTTGGCACAACGTATGTATAGTGATGTCACAGGAATTCAGAATAATTTTTGCAGATTTTAAGACATAAACTTTGTAATTGCACTTGTAGCTGAAAACCTGTGGCATGTAATGAATGACTGAAATGCAAGCCGCCTTTCACTATATGCAATCTTGTACACAAGTGGCAGTACCACTATGCATTCTGAAGTCATTTGTCTGTTTTGTGTAGAGTTGAGGGTCGTGTTTTGTATGAAACAGTAGAAGACAGGATCTATTTCTGATTAAGAAAAGAACTGAAACATCGCAGCTTAGAAAAGGGGGAACATTCATTTATAATGTGAATAACTGCTTTAAAATAATTTTCAAATAATGATTATATCTGAAGTGAAATAGAAAACTGCTTTGCTTCTCATGTTGGAGACTCATGTGCTCTTCAGGGTCAGTGAAATTTCAATGTTGAACAAGAATTCATTCCAAGATAAACTTCTGTATTTTGAATAATTAGAATTGGCCATTCTGATCTCTAAGTTTTTCTGAAACAGCTTTAACAGTAGAATGACAAAACCCAGCAACATTCAAGTAATACTAGATAAGCAAATAAAAAACCCACAGTATTTGAATCAGAGAGCTTTGCAAGCACCTGTCCTTTTTTGTACAACTTTCTTACAGCAGTGGAGCATTGTATTCACTAATAGTAGCATGGAGGGAACATGCTCCTCTTAATTGTCCTGTACATGCTACTCTTTGGCAATGCTTTTGAGATTAGTACTTGTAAATTTTAACTGTTTGTTTCTTGCTAGCTGCTGTGTATACTGAGTGTATTTAGCTTTACTTCATATTCTTCCATACTCTCTTGAGGAGTCCTCTATCATATGAAGTGTCAATTATTTTGGTTCATTAACCCCCTTTTTAGGATATAAAGAAGATATTTTCAGTAATCCAACATTTCCATTGCAGCAGGTGAGGTTATGTCATCTTTGGTGGGATCAGGATAAGGCTCTCACTGCAGATAATTTGCAAGGATTTATCAACTTATGATTATTACTGTGTGCTTTGAATATAAGCTACTTGATTTACCAGTTGACAAAGCTCACTGCTCTTTGCATTCTTCTTCATGATTATAACATTGCTGTAAAATTGTAGATTTAGCTGTAAAATTGTAGTGTATGTCAGGTCAGGGAGGAAAGGCAGGATTATTTTGGAGCGCAGAAGATTTAAAATCTGCTCAGTTTAGTACTATGATGAGACACACTCAACAATGAGACCTTCAAGTTTGATTTATATTGACTTAGAGGTTCACCATTCTGATACAGAAGAGATAAGAAGCACAGTCTAGCACTAATAATTACATGGTTTATAAATTAGCATTTTCATTTCAATATTCTTAGTTATTTTAGTTTTAAAGTAGCATTTTTAGCTAATTCTGTTTGAATTTGGACCAGAAGATTTACATCAGTAAACCAACCCTACATATTCCTGCTTCAGTGATTAAAAAGGCTTTGAAATATTAATTGATAAACCAAACATATTTGTTTTCTTACATTTGACAGGTGAACTTTAAATCCCCTGTTTTGGGGGTGAGTTTTGTCTGTGTTTTCTTCTCTCCCCTCCCCGCCCCCCTTTTCTTTTGAGCAGTACACTTCTGCCAAAAATCTTTACTTGGTGAGCAGGTAACATGAACAGTGAATACATGCTCTGCCTTGCACTAGTCGATTGTTGTTTAGATTTAAGAAGCTGTTGAACTCTCCCCAATAATGTAAGAGATAAATTCATGCATACCATGATTTTTACTGTATACATTTATTAAAGTGCAATTCCTCAGAAACTTGAGCCAGTGGATCAATTTTTGTCATTTTCTTCCCCCCCCAAATATTTTTGGACAGGTGGAATAGGGGAAATAAACTCATGTGTTTTCCATATGCAAATGTGTTAAGACTGCTAGGATGTTGTAAAAATTTGGAGCTGGGGGTGCCTGTGGGATTTAAGTAATCTTATGGTAAGTTAACATGCAGTACGGTAATATAGCATGTAGAGTATATATCTATGTCAATTGTATTCCAATTGTAACACATTGGAATTGTATTTAGATCTTACAAACATTTTTGTGAGTTGTATGTGGTGACATGCTCATTGGTGTTCAAAGCACAGGTAACATTGACCAAAGATCATGAAGTTTGTGTCATAAGAAAAATGGTTGTTTTACTTTTAAAATTAAGGAAGTGTTCTAGGTTGAGTACAGCAACATTGAGGTATGAAAAGTAAGCCTTATCTTTTGCCTGTTGCTTCCATTGTATCTTTGTAGAAAGTTTTGAATAGATATTAGGTGAATGTTTATGTTGCTATGTAGCAAACAGAGTTCAATTGGTTCCTTTTTAATAGATGGTGGGCCATACCACTTGGCAGTCTTGCTGACTGATTCAGAGCTAAAGAGTTGAGAGGGAAGTGGATTAAACAGCCTTCAGGTTTCTAGAACGTCTTTCTGAATGTGGTCAGGCTTGAGATGGAAGGCACAAGGGAAAGCTTGTGTTTCAGTAGTATGTGCTTTTCCTGTACTATTTATTTTCTGTCTTATGTAGCATCTCTTTCTTAGTAGACCGATACAGATAGGAAAACCAGCAGTATATTCAGGCAAACATTTTCAAAGTATTAAGTACAAATATTTAAAAAATCCACCAAAACAAACTATATGCAGGTCTGCTGAGAAGTAATGATGCTCACTTTTGCAGATCAGGTTCTCTATTTCAGATAGGTATCTAAAGAAGAAAAGTCAGCTGAAACAACTTTACTTTGTTCAAGAAGGTGAACCAGTAGAAATGCTATGCTGAGTTTGCTGTAGTAGGCTACTTTGCCAATGTACACAAATGTAATGAACACCCCACAGTGATGATCAGTTAGTCTATTTCAACAGTATCTCCTGTCTATCAGTGATGTTCATGTACCCAAAATTATTTTTATTGCAGCTGCCATGGAATCACTTTTTCAGCTGTTTTTACATAATAATGTTGTTACTGTAGCCATTTAGTCGTATTGAAGTTTTCAGCTGTGATTTGGAAATACTTTTGAAATTACCTTTGAAATTCAGCTTTTCAGTATAAGTAAGTGAAGAAACAAAAGCTGTTTGGAGTGAAAGTTTAACAATGTCTGGAAAATGCCGTTGCACAAGTCAACTCTCTCACCTGCTCAATTGAATCTGAAGTGGGATGACAGCAATAGCAGTCTAAGTTCTTTGGATAACAAATGGTTCAGTTGGATGTTTTAATCTTTAAAATGCAATTATTTAAAATGAACTTATTAATTTAGAAATCTTAAAATGCTGCATTGATGCTTTTGAAGTGCTGAATATATTGCTAGGTGATAATTGCATAGCATTAGAATGGTCTATCAGATCTGCTTTCAGCTCAGCCAGATTTGAATTATGGCTTAGTGTACCATCCACCTGATTCTCTGTTAACTTGTAAAATGCTTCAAGTGAATACTGAAATGTCTGAAATGACTAAAAAAAAAGAAGGCACAATCTAGACCACACCTTACGAAGTGCATAGTTGTATTTTCCTTCTTTCACATTCTCTCTGGAATCTTGCAAGCACTATCAGAATTTCAGAAAATAGGAATCCTTAGGTATATGTTCTTTAAGGAAACACTTTTATATCGCCTCTGTACAGAACTAGTGAGAAATAGTATCTCAATTGAGCAAGCATCTGAAGAGTTGTTGTTAGAGTGGCCTTTTTTATTGCCCCATCAAAACGAAAGTGTCATCTCTGTTTTGACAAAACTCAGGTCAGTAATCTGTATGTGCTTAGATCTCGTTAATTGTATGTCATTTAACCATATCTATAACTTGAAACAAAAGAAAAAAAAACAGATAAAATACATTGAGCCTTGTGTCTTGTATTTTGCTAGATAAAATCATGGTAAAGTTTTTCTAGAGAGAGAAAGAGAAAAACATGTATTAACTTTCAGTAATTTTTCCTCTGAACTGAGTAGGAAATAAGGAGAAAAAACAGTGAGAGGCATTTGCCATTTCTAGCAGACCTTGCTGTCAACAGTAGGGCTTTATATGCTGTTTAGAGTGAAAGGGAGCCTGAATCCTTATTTTTTGAGAATTGTGGCTTTCGGGCGTCATCTAGTACTTCTACCTAAGAGAAGACATGTCTTTTCTCCTTTTAAAAGTTATCATGAAATGGCAGAATATTTTAACTTAAATAGTAAAGAATTTTTCTCATTCTTTTCACACTGCAAAGCCAACAGATTTTTTCCTTTTTGGCTCTAGTATGGTGTTGTACATCAACATGGCCAGACACCACTTCTGAGATGCCTCTGTGAGCTCCATACCTCTGCTTGTGCTGCTCTCTAGCCTTATGTGGTGGTAACCTCCTCCTCTCGTGTAGTCATTGTGGCAGTTTGCAGGGAATGCTGAGTGAGTGTGTGCTGAGAGGAGTTAGATACCTGAATGCTTGTCCTTGTGCAAGTAAAGTTTTGGGTAGTCCACTTGAGTTGTTCTGGAAATGAAGTACAGTCTCAGCTACCAGTTGCGTCACTCTGGGGTACTGTGTTTAGGAGGGCAGGTGACAGAAATGAAAGGTGTTAAGTATTTGGTTCTAGTCCTCTTTCATTTTGCATGGATTTTGAAAATTTCAGTTCATAACTCCAAGAATATATATCAGAAAATAAACCAACATTGATGTCCTAGGACTTTCAGGAGCAGGGTTGCTAACAGGAGCCATTTATAGTCACATTTTCCTATTTTTACAAGTTTTCCTCTTCTGATGCTTTGTGGAGATAT